GACTGCGCCAGTGAGGTTCTTTTCTTCTTTGATGGTGATCTTTGATGCTGATGCTAGCTGCTTGATGTCAATTTTGAAGTCTTGCCTGTTGACGAGGATGTCGAATAACGCATCACGGAGACTTGACGTCAAGAAGAACAAATGCGTTTACTAATTAAGAGCGAATATAAAAATTACAAGAGCAGAATTTTACAGAACAATCATCCTTGCCGGACACGGCAGGAGTCTTTCGGCAAGACCCGCTCCGGGAGCGTATATCTGGTCACTCCCTGGAGCTCGTACAAAAAAAACTCCTCTTCCCCAGTCCTCCTCGGGTTTAAAAACCCGTGGCCGCAACTTGTTCCACCCAATCACAGTCCAATACCCCTCCTATTGGGTGCAGTTGGCAACGCCCTCATAACATACATACGAGAGGTCACGTACCCTTCCTCTGGGGCCCGAACGAGGACCCTTGGGTGATCGCTGGTCTCCGAACACCGGAAGGGTCGCAGGAAAAGGGCCCGAACGGGCACCCTTTCCACGTGTGGCGGCGTCGACGTAGTCACCTGCCAAGGCGGTTCTCCAAAGAGAAGATGACGAAAGCCAACACGAGTCGGAAGCCGAAAGCAGTATCAGGAATCACGGCCTGGCTCCCCTTGAGAAGCAAAGAGAGCCGCCAGGACGGAGAAACGCGGTGCGGTGAGGACCGGAAAGGCGAACATCGTCGGGTAAGAGAAAGAAGAAAGGGACCCCGACGAGTCGATCCCAGATGCTGTCCGTTCGGATCACGTACAGGGTCTTTCCAGGTGCACTGCCGCGGGCGCGCAATGATCGGGACCCGACACCGCCGAAGAAAACACCTCACCATCCACCCTTGTGAGCCAAAGCCGCCGTGTATACAAACGGAGAGCCGCCTTCGAGCGGCGGCTTCAGGACACACGAAGCTCTTCAAATGGAGCGCCCTTTCGACCGCCACCGCGCATTGCGCCAACCTCACAAGTGTGTTCAAGGTTTGCTAGCATTTCGGTGGTGCTTATACATTGCTAAGATGCCCGTCTTCTCATTGGATGAAAATGACTCCGTCGTGCATCTTTACGATTGGTTAAAGACATAACAAAACATAAAGTTATCATAAGTTTCTTTCATAGAACGTAGGAGCAATTGAGGCCGTGGCAGTTATCAATAAAAATAATGACCTGCAAATAGTACAATTCGAGGCTCTGTGTTTTTGCCGGGACAAAATAATGCAACACACATTTTAATGAAAAGCACGGCAATGTGATGCAATATACTTTACCTAAACTTAAAAAAAAAAAATCAGCTTGTTTTTTTGTTTTGTTTTTTTAGTTGCAAGTTGAATTTGCAGAGCATTTTACACTGAGACATGTTTGAAGCGCTGTAAATATTTTCAATTATAGACGAGAACAACAAAATTTACATCAAAGATTGACCCCTTTTAGAAGAATATATGAGTAAAAACTAAATAGTAAAGCTGGAAAATCTTACGAGATAACAGCGAACCAATATTAGTTAAAAATGTCAAAGTAGACAAATTCCTGCAATTCTAAGAGTTGTATTTCTGTCAGAGACAAAATAATGCAACATACTTTTAATGAGAAAACAGGGCGATATAGTGTAGAATGCTTCACCGTATTAAAAAAAAAAATAGATGTTTTCTTTTGAATTACACGTTGAAGTTGCGGGACTTCTCGTTTTTAGCTGTTTAGAGCACTGTAAATATTTTTTTGGAAGTCATACAGACAGATTATATATAGACAATTGACCCGTATGTGAAGAACCTGGGAAAAAAGTAAACTATATATCTTAAAAAACTCTACGAGATAACAAATCACTAACAAGGTAAAAACGTCAAAGTAGCCATGTTTGTGCATTTTTTACGCACGATATATATTTTCCAAAATCCTATAAATTGTTCCATATATTGTCATTATAAACTACTATATGAGAAAAAGCTTTTGAGTTTTATATATCTTTTTTTTTTGTCGATTTTGTTCCGCCAAACTTGGAAGGAATGACAAAACGCCAAAACGGGTTTGCCGCCTTGATGTCTTTTTTTTTTTTCTCGAGAAATAAAACTATTCTCGCCAAACCTTTTGTGATTCCGTTCCCTCCACACATTGAGGAGTAACATATAAAAATACGCAGAAAAACAAAAATGTCAACTGGACACGCGTGCATGCATGGTCTTATCTGAACACACCCTTTAGGTCTAAAAATAATTTCAGCTTCGACATTTGCCGAGCTTCCTCTCCAGAAAGCGGCGATTCGCTCTACAAAGTTCTTCGGGGGAAAAGTAGACGTACTGGACTTTTCAGTGTTGCTTGAACCCTATTATTTTTGAAATAGGCAAAATTATGTTTTCTGGGGTCCTTTTTGTTAATACGAACTTCTCAATATTAGATACAGTCCTCCAATATACCATTTTACCAATAAAGCCAAGGATTTGCATCCCAAAACAATTCCAAATCAAGTACAGTTTGGGATATTTGTAATCTGTTTATTTTGCATATAACATCAGCCAAACCTTCTTGTTTTACCTTTGAAGATCAGAAAATGTGCTCCTAAAATATCCGAACACTGGAAAGACCTTGGTTTGTTTCCAACATGTTGGATTGAAATATGGACGAACACAAAATTGTTTTTGTTACCAGAAATATGGGAAAAATAAAACTTCCTAAAGGAATCGCCTGGTAGATGACAGTCTTAAGGCCATCAAAACACTTTTATTAAACCAAAGGGGCTCGTCTTGGGGAAAACATTTTTTTTTTTAATTTCTAGTACACTCACATTGACCATGGAATCTTGTAAACTTCTCACTGTGACAGCAGTGAAATTGATCGATCGTTCTTTATCTAGTGGGAAGAATAAAACAGAAAGAGGACTAATATGTTTTATATTTTTCACAAGATGAATACTTAAACCAACACGTTCTTCACGAATATGATTAACCGCAATGCTAATTTACCTAAAATTAGATTCATCTTAATGAGTTAAGTCGTTGAACGGTATACAAGTACACAGGTGAGGCTATGTTTACAATCCTGACCCGCTGTACAAGCGACTTGAAAGTCTACGAAAAAAAAATAACGCAAGACACAGATAGAACAAAGAATGGTGGGAGATGAATCACCTAGACTTCATTTCAAACTCCTTTACGCTGCTCAAGAATTCCAATGTCCCGACTACAAGTCGGAAAAAACAAAAGAGAAAAAGAAAATCGCTCATGTATGGAGCGCGCTCGGTGACATCGTGCAGAGCGACAGAAATCCCGAGTGCTTGATTTCCGGGCGGTTACTCAGCGGCCAATGACAGAGTCCTCCTCGGGATCAGGGTGCCGGTTTACAACCGCATATAAGAATGGAACGTCGGAGGACGTTCACCGGCTCGTTGAGCAAACTGAACGCAGAGACTGAAACTCTTTGCTGCTTTGCATCGGCGCCGATGCGATGGCTGCAAGTTTGCGGCTAGAGTTGCTTGCTCTGGTGGTGACCAGGCTGATGGCGATTTTCGAGGCCAGCGAGTTCACCGTAGTCGACTACACAACATGCGGTGGGTTTTTTGTTTGCTTCATTTTCAATCTCATGCTTCATGTGTTACTTGGATCCTCTCCCGCGCCCCTCTCTCCCTGTTCTCGACACAGTTAGCTACTCGAAAATTAAAGTGAATTCAGCTCGCAGCGCTATGTTTCAGAAGGATGGTTTTCACATCTGCGTTTGACTGTGACTGACCACGCCACGACCACTTGTAAAGGGCTTAAAACGGGATGACGAAATAATACACTAGCCCCCTATATTCGCTAGCCTTGAAACACGCATTATCCGCGTATATGTTACGCATTATTGTTTTATTAGGAGTTTAAAAGTAATTCTGGAGATGTCTCATAGATAGTGCATGGACTTCACCTTGCAAATACAGCGAAACTATTCAGTCCACGGTTATATCCAGATGAAAGGGGTTCCAGGCTACTTGATAGCTGGCGCCAGTGTACCAAAGTGTTTTCTGGTCATAAGTCGTCGGAGGTGGCCGTAGGGCAGTCGATCACAGTCAAACGCAATTATGGGAGGCTGTCTTTCGTTCCGTTGCAGGGCAAATGTGGAAATTCGGGTTATCAGTAACCTCCTTCAAGTTTTGACAGAATGCTGTGATAGACAAACATTCATTGAAGGCTGCTTGTGGACATGCCACGTGCGGCTTGTTGACAACCTTTATTCCATTGAAGCATGGGCAACGGACGACAAGATTAAACGTAAGCGAACAATGGCCACAAATACTGGTCTCCCTGGTCTCGAGTGAGTCGTGTATCATATGTTTCTTTTGAAATATATTTACGATGGAGGCCATTCCAGGTTCGGCTACATGGGCTCGAGGTTACGTTTTGATTTTTAGAGTTCAAAATGCAGGGTACAGGACGAAACCTGGCGTGGCCATTTTCCAAGAAAGCAGCCATGAGCAAAAGTTTTTTTATCCAACATGATTAGTTTAATTTTTCTTGTCACTAAGTGAACCAACTTGAAGCAATGCGATTGAGAAAGATACGAAAGAAAAAACAAAAACGACTGCAAATGACTTGCAAGAGCCGAGGCCTTACTGAGAGGATCACCGTATCTGCCATCTGCAAAGACAAACAAAACTGTTGAGAAACAGATTTGACAGATGGTAGCCCAGCGAAGATAAAATCTGACTTTCGCTTAGACAAGCCCATCCTTGAATGTCAAAGTGAAAAAAAACAATGTCTTAAGTGAAGGGAAGCTGGTGCATATTTAGCGTGACAATAAACCCTGAGATTTTAAAGGCTTTGGCACGCGGTGTGTGCTTTTTTTTCTTCTTTCTTACTATTTTGACATCTTTGTTCAGCCTAGCATCAATGTTGACCGCCATGCCGAATTTCGTATTGGACTCTTTCTATCCACGCACTGGTCCACGTTATGCTTTTTTTTCTTTCAATGACAAAACATTTGATAGAATGAGACGACTCGTGCCGACTGCGTGTAACTCTCCAGGAGGTGAGGCTTTGCAAGTTCGGGTGGACCCGTGCGAGCAGCTGCCTTGTTCGTTCAAGAAGGGGCGCTCAGTCAAGATCGAAATGGACTTCGCCTCATGTGAGCATTTTCTTTCTAAAAAAAACAACAAAAAACAAAAAAACAACTACAACAGTATTTTTTTTTTTCTAAAGCGGGAGTTTTATTTAAATATCTTTCAGGAACTTCGCTTATTCATGTTCTTGGTTGTGCCGCTGTAAGGCCATGGGTCAAAGTTTGCTTATTCAATTCACCTACACGATTCCGCACGAGCGCAGAGAAGCGTAGCGCGGCGCAGAAAGGTGGAAGGCAGAGTACTTGCGGTTGTATCTTGAGATAAGCTGTCCTCGTAAGTCGAATATAGTGGTGTGCAGCAGGAGGTGCATTTAAATCGAACGCAGAAACTGTAAGCAACATATCGGCGCGCAGCTGGTGGTCTGGTTACAGTGTTCTAGAGGGTGTAGTGGCAAGAGCGGCGCCCGCTTACGATGATGCGCGTAAAGACGGTCGATGTATAGATACCGCGAGTGGCGCTGGAGTTCTGTGCCCTAGGAGAATTAATGGCACGTGTGCGATGAACGAAGAAGACTACGAGGGTGACGCGGTACGCTTCTCCGAAATGTAGCACCGTAAAACTTCTTTCGCAGCTATTAAGCCTGCAGCCCAAATGATAGCGTTGCTCAACGATGTGTCAGTACTGAGGGGGGCGGGGAGTCGATATTAATTAAATAATCTCCCTCAAAACACCGGAATATTTCAAGTAGAGGATAGCACACACTCTAGAGGCATTAGTCCAAAGGCAGAACTACAATTTACTATACTTCGTTTCACCTTATGTTGTACCGCAGCGAAGGCTAGAAGCGCGAGCTCATAGCGTTGGCAGCTGCTCTTAATTCACGAGAGCTTGTGCCGCCGAGATGTGCCCCAGAGCAAGGAGCTCGCGCTTGTACCCTTTCCTGCGGTACATTATAAGGTGAAACAGAGTATACAGAACAACATTAGCAGTTGTTTCGCACCGCGAAAAGCTCCAGTAAAACCACAGTAGTAAGCGCCGAACAGCGCTGATGATGGGGCTGACGGGGGCGCTCTCCTAGGGCACAGAACAGCAGCGCCATGGTGTCGTCTACGCGCAAAATCTTCCCAAAGCGGCCGCCGCTCTTGCCACTACAACCCCCTCTAGAACACTGTAGTCTGGTGTCATAGCACGTGCGGCCAATGGTGTTGTGACGCGCAGAGGGGGGGGGGGGGGGGGGGGGAGGGGGGAGGAGGTGAAGAGGGAAGTGTTAGCGCAGCACTTCTCCTTCCCCTCTCTCGCTTCGCTCTACATCCTCCACTCCCTGTCGCTGTTCTAATGTAGAAACTGCTTATTGCGAAAGCTGCGCTATCGCAATTTCTTTGCACTTGGCAGAATGTCTAAGCCACGTGATTTTTTTTTTTTTAATTTTGTTTTCAAGTCGCGAGTTTGTGCGAGATGTAGCAATCTGCGAATATTATTCGAAAAGGTTTAATTTTTCTTGAGTGAGTCCTCACGTATTTAGAAAATGGGGTCCAGCACCATGACCTGTTCCTCGCGCTTCGAGGACGAAAGCCAGAGAATAGAAGAAAAAAAAAATAGTTTGGCAGAAAACTTTGAAATTTTAAAAGTATTACTTTTAACAGCAGGACTGCTAAGTTCAGGTCCTCAGTCTTCTTCATGCAGTGCTTACGAACCTCAGCGCTGACCTGTATGGGTAATTAACGAACAGCGACAAATGCGCCAGAGCAAAAAAAAAAAAAAAAAAAAGAGAAAAAGAAAACGCCGACGAATTAAAAATGAGACTGCGAAGATGTGTTTTTCACCACGCCCTCCTTACTTGTCTGATCTTGTACTCTGGCACAAAAACGTGTGTCAGTGCTTCTTTGAAACGTTATATCCTTACGAAATGGCAAGCAATCTCCCAGCTTGAGTACAAGAAGCGAACGCTTTATTGCTGAAATCTGCGAGTTCTGCCAGAAGGAGTTGCATGGTATCGTTGTCAAGGCTACGAGCACTTGTTGCAGCCAAGAACCAGTCTCAGGTGAGCGTGGGCATCATGGGCAAGGCCGGCGGCATGCTCTTGCCGCTCCCGTTCAACCAGAAGGACGGCTGCAAGGGCTCCGGGCTGGACTGCCCCCTGGTGGCCGGACGAAACTACACCGTGTCCAGGGCAGTCCGCGTTTACCGGATCTACCCCAAGGTAGGCTGCCACCCCGGAGGAAGCTTCCAGCTAAAAATGCCTCCAAACATTTTTTTTTAATTTAGTTACGCGGTTTTTTGGTAGACAGCGCGCTTAGTGGTTGCATGCAAAACTTTTCGAAGCTTTCTGTGGTAACGCTTGTTAAATGGGTGAGGTTGGGGGGCGAAGGGGTGGTGAAGGGGGGGGGGGGGGGCGTGAGAGGTCGCGAACTTGTGGCGAATAGACTTATATCATTAAGCGTTCCCCGCATGCATGACGCCGCCATAGCTGTAGTTCGCAAGAGGTGCAGGAGACAGCTCGCTGTAGTTCGCAAGAGGTGCAGGAGACAGCTCGCCACTCTCAGAAAAAAAGGTGTATTATTACGCCCCTTGTCCCATATAATACACCCCAAAACTTCAATTCGACGCACAGCGCCCCCTAATCGAACAGGCGGCCCCAAAGTTTACGAGGGGCTTGATAGCCGTGTGGTACAACTTATTAAAATAGCTGACGTACGTATTATTGACTACAAAAAAGACTATCGGAGTTTTCTTGGCCGTACTGCAAAAGCTCCGTGTTTTCTTTCTTTGGTATTTGATACGTACTTTAGCAATTTAAAAAGTTATATTGCATCGTTATCAAACCTCTCGTAAAATTTGGGGCCGTCTGTTCGACTATAGGGCGCTGTACGTCGAAGTGAAGTTTTGGGGTGTATTATATGGGACAAAAGGGTGTAAGGTGATACCCTTTTTTTTTAGAGTCACGAGCAGAGCACGAGAGGGCACGTGCCCTCTCGTGCTCTGCTCGTGCGGATTTTCAGCGGGGTTGTCGAGCGTGCAGAAGGAGTGTACAGATACCACGACGCATGGCAACAGCGGTTGCGTACTCAAACTAACTGGTCAGAGCCGTATATGTAGAGAGTTTGGCCATTCGTGGGAAAGTATAGGAGACAAATGAGAAGGCGCCATTGGCCGAAAGCGGGCAGGGCGTGTTTTAGGGCGTCTTCAGAAATTCAAATGGGGCCAACCAGAAGCCGGAAATAATACCCTGGCGGTGGTCGCGAGAAACAGACTTCATAACTGCATCGGAGTAACTCTCGGTGACTGAAAATATGGTGCACGTGATGTTTTAATCACGGTCATCCAAAATCATAGTGGAAGAGTGCGACTAGAATCTGCGTTCCCAGCGGTCACACTCTGTGCAAGCAAAAAAGAGTTGAACGGCGCATTCGTTTCTTGCATCCTTCTGCATGATCATGATCGAAACATGACGTGCACCTTATTTTTAACCATAAAGGGTTACTACATTTAACCCTTACGCGCTTATTAAAACTACCAAAACTGTTTCTCGCTACCACCGCTAGGGGATTCTTTTCGGCTTCTTGTCGGCCAACAGAGCATGACAAGCCCACTTTCTGCGTCTGGTGCACGCCCTGTCTCTGCCCGCGCCACCCATTGACCGAACTCTTTGTATACACGGCTCTGTAGCTGGAAAGATAGCTCTATTCGCATGGTTCTTTCTACGCGGTCTCGAGCGCTCTTTACAGAGCGCGTGAGATCGGATGGTGGAAATGGGGTGCGGTGGGCCTGATCGGCTGGTTTCTTCCGAGAGCGCCCCTCCCTCTTAAGGCCGGTTCAGACACTTGCGTTTGAGTGCGTTTGACTGCGTTGCGTCGAGAACCGAAAGCGAGTCACCGGCACATCTGTGCTTCGTATGAAGCGTGGACTCCAATTCAAGGAATCATCATGGCACGCGACATAAGCAGCAGGGATGTTCTGGTTTCTCGCTGCCGCAACGCAGTCAAACGCAGTCAAACGCAACTGTCTGAACCAGGCTTCAGAGTGCTCGCTAGCACTCTGTCTCGAGCCGTCGGAGTGCGAAGCGGAGCAGGCGTCACGTGGTATTCGGATGGGGATCACGTGGTTTTGTCGACGATGGCCGGCAGTGGTCTCCGGTGGTGTGCGGTGTCCGACACGACGTGTCTGATTCTACAAAGTGCTTGTGCGTTCGACGGTGCACGGATTACAATAGACAGGACAACATTCGCTTGTAACCGTGACAGGAAAACTCACTGGGAAGTGTTCCCAGTGCTTTTACGAGATCGTTCATCTCACGGCAGTAACCCTGCTAAACCTAACCGTCGAAGAAACAGCTCGCAAGCTTCGGCCGCTGTTTCACCGGGCTTTGTGGATGCTTCAAGAAAATGTTCGGGCTTGGTAAATGTGCGTTCGAAGGTTTGTGTCGTACAATAAAGGAAGAGTAACTATAGTGCACTGTGGTTTGTGTCACAAGGCCATATGTGCTATGCCGTGTGGGTGATGCAGGCACGATATTCTGCCGTGAGAAAAATGAGGTTTATCGGCTATTTAATTTTTGGCCTGTTCTGCCGTACGCATGGCGGCTGTCAAAAACGCGATGATTTGACAACTATTTCCAAACATTGGCGTTCTCTCTGTACTGCGAAGATCGATGTGGATGCTGCAGATTTTGTATTTTTAAACGTGCTGGAGCGTAGAACACTCTATAGTTCGTAACAGCCGTTAAATTATCACGTTGCGGGCGTACATTTTGCTAAACGTCCATCGTCCGCTGTAATTTCTTTTTCCATTACCAACGTCAAGGAATTTTACTTCCGTGACTGGTCCGAGAATCTCAGAGCTCTCTGAGCCCAAAAGTTGTGATCGGTAGAAAAGAATCCAGAGTAGCTCTGGTGGCGAGGAGGGGGCACTCTGTTGAGTCAAGGTCGGAGGAGAGAGGCGACCACCCGAATTCACCCTTAGAAATACTTCTCCTTTCTTCGGAAATATCCCAAGACGAGGATGTTATGCGACGTTGTTGCCCGCACCCCAAAAGTGCGATGCTTTCATAGCTCCGATCAGTGCTATGCAAAATATCCATGGGTGTGGTTTGCCGGCCGCCGTATTCGGCATTTCTATCCTTCAGCGTAATGTAGGCTTGAGCTTCCACGCGTGGTCGGCCAAGAAGGACGGAAAGTTGGATTGTGTAGTACCGCATTCCCTATTTTTCATTGGCCCAACGTGCCTTGATTCGCATTTAACGGGGACTCTCGCGAGTGGTGTACGTTTCAGCGCACCCTTGCTGTATTCCGTTAGAGGAGGGCGTTGTTCAACGATTCGATATGTCTCCTCGGTCCGGAAGGTCCCTATATCAATTCTTAGATTCGTGTTCCGATAGTTTAGTCCTTAAACATATTGAAGCTATACCCATTGCTAAGCTGCAGCTGCATTTGTAAATTTAAGCGACATGTAAAACACAAAAACAGATACACAGACGGATACACAGAAGCACGCGCGTATTTACACACGCACACACAGACGCACAACCGCGCGCGCGCACGCACACACACGCGTAAAACGGTATTATTTAAAGAAAGACTCAAATGACCAGTACTTTACATAACCTAATACCCCTGTGTTACGGGCACTTTGAAGGCCTGCAGAATAAGCTCCTTTAAAGAATCAGCTAGCCAGCGCACGACCTCGTGCACGCGAACCAAGCCAAGATCGTAAACTGATTTGCCGATCTTTTTTATTTTTTAAGGTGTTTTTCCTGAAAGCCTTTAACATGCCCGTAAATGTCCCAAAAACACACAATGCCACCGAAACGCGATATTTCTTTAGAAAGAAATTGACCTGAGTGCTGGGATACGCGCTGGAAGATTTAAATATACACACCACCTGCTAGAGCAACTTGTTTGGATGTTGGCAACCTTTAACTTCCCGCTCGTAAGAAAACAAAACAACAACAACAACATAATACAAACTTTTATTCAGTTGCCTGTCAGTGCCAGTTTCAACGGTATGCGAGCGGCAGAGTTTAAAGGGCAACTCAGGTAAATATTTCCGAATTTGGGAGTACGACTGTTTTTAGCTCAGGCAGTGTCCCCTGAATTACAAGATATACTTTTTTTTTTCTTCTCGATATTGTGTGTAGTTTTATAAATATCACTGGGCCTAAAGTTTAGGTTTGGGCGTCTACGGCAAAGCCCAAACTATCTGCGATAGGGATGGCAACATTGATCATCAGCTTTAGGGCCGCGACGTGACGTTACCGTTGTTGCGCGGTATGTGTTGCCCAGTGTTGCTTGACTAAAAACCAACCCGCTTGCCACCGCTAAAGAGCAGCTAGTCGCATCTGTAAAATCGGTCTTAGCGGAGTACGCAGCTTCACTTTGACTAATATTTCGGCTGTGACCATATTTCGTGCGACTAAAGCAACACCAGCCAATTATTTTGGTTTCATTTTCGACCGGAGTTGCCCTTTAAATGAATATCCTCGAGAAACTGGAATTTATTTTGCTATTTATGAAAATTTTACAGATGGAGATTCTAGCGGTGTTCGAGATCAGAGGGAACGACGGAGAGGTCCTGGCTTGTGTGCAGTTCCCCGTGCACATACAGTGATAAAAAGAAGAAAAAAAAAAGTCCTATGTTTTGCCGGAAGATGACTGCGGTACCATTCTTTGGAATGAGCTATTGCGAATGCCGGACCTGAATAAAACGAATAATATATATATTTTTTTGCTGTTCTTTACCACACCAAATTCACCACCCAAGCGTTAAAAAAAATAAAACTTTTTTTTTTTGCCACAAGTTTGAATTTTTTTTACACGTCACTGCATGGGGGGGTTATGTGTTACAAATGCTCTCGAATACTGACTTTTTTATATATTTGTGTGCATTTTTTACTTAAAACAATATATGCTTCACACTTTCGTAGACCTGGGCATTTTCTATATTTAATTGTTTTTGCAGTGTTGCTCAAATGACCAACTGTGGCTAAGGATTTCTGTTCAATATGTTGATACTAAAATTTAAAGCGCATTTATTGTAAAAGGTTAAACAACCAATGTCTATATATTTTTATTGATCTGAGGTTCTCATCGGCATATTATTTCCTACATAAATAGTATACAGCTTTTGTGCCCATTCAATTTCAACATTACGCCGGTGTACCGAAAACTTGGGTAAAATCAAGGTAAACTAATGTTAGCACAAAAATCACTACCTCATTTTTTTCCTTTCGACAAATTGATGAAGTCTTAAAAATGTCATTATATATTTTATCACAGACTTTCCTCATGTTAAAATGAAATAGCGACCATACAAGAACCTAACACAGATAATTCCGTTTTTTCCCTCTGCCCCACCTTATTATTATCATTCTTTCAAAAATCGTTGTTAAACGGATTTACTCATGCACATCATTTCCTGGTTTATATCATTTATGACAGAATTTCACTGCACAAGTTAATAACTAGATTACATCGTCTACTTGGTTATAATGAACGTATCGTCAAACACCACTTAGCGTCAGAATTTTTTTGATTGGAACTTCTGCATTTTCCTAGATATTCGAATACGAATCTACGTGTGAATCTTTTCATGCCGTCCTATATACCGAGTGTCTCAAGTAGCGGCCAGGCTCTTTAAATCGACCGCAAAATTCGGTTTTTTCGCTACGATTTTGTGCCGCGTTGCCCACAGGTGGTGCATTTTTTCTATAAAATTCGCAAAGAGCGAACTTACCTGAGGAAAAAGTAAGAAAGAAAAGAAAAATGCTTAATTCCTATGGAAACACAGCGAAGTCACCGGTCTTCAAACCATAGGGCGCCCCATTGATTGAAGACGTGTCGCTTTGCTGGGTTTCCACAGGAGTTCGGGAAAGTTTGCTTTTTTGAAAATTTATAGAAAAAATGCATCGCCTGTGGGCAACGCTGCACAAAATCGTCGCGCGATAGGTTAAGTAACCGAATTTTGAGGTCGATTTAATGAGCCTGGTCGCTATTTGAGACACCCGATAGTTCGGCTATGGTGGCCTGAAAAGCGACCCTGATATTAGCGACCCATATAACACTAAAGGCATCGAACAGGAGGCGTTTCTGTCGGTTGTTAGCGCGGCTGGTGGCCAAAAAGGACAACTTTGGACATGCAACGCCACCAAACGATCGGGCACAAGTGCTGCGTCCCAATTCGGTAGGGCGCTATATTGGGCGCCCGAGCTCCAAAATCCGATCCAAGGATTGCGGACGTGGGCCATCTGAGGTTTGCTTGAATTATTCCCCAATAAAGCGGCGCTATATACCTGCTAAATTCAAACTTCCCGTTGCACGGTGGCGTCCGGAACATTTAAGCCAAGATCGTACCGCTACTAAGTCATGCAAAGGACAGTCTGCAGACACTGTCTGCAAACATGATTCGAACATGCGTGAGGCGTGTCCGTAGATACCTCTGTCATCATGTCCGAAACGAAAACCGCGTCTTTTGCATGACGTATACACCTTTCCAGGAAACACTGGACCCAGGGACAGCAAACGGTTTTCGAGCCCAGTCACTGGGTCTGAGGCTAGACTCTCACCGGCGTCCCTGCTAACCCTAACCGTGTGAACTGTGATTTCGATATGCGCAGTTTCAAACACTGCTGGCGGCTTAAGTATCGTCTTTTCCCGCTTTATTCCGGCTTATTTCCCGCGATAAAGTTATTTAATTTTTAAACAAAGTGCCAGGCGGTATAATACCCGTACGCATGCTGTCGACTTCAGTCAACGAGGTAGAGGGGCTTAGAGTGATAAACCGGAAGTTCGGAAGTGGCACCCCCCCCCCTGTTGCCGCCATGGTTTACGCAAATGTGACCACTCGTCACGTGACCTCCCAAGAGCCGTGGCGTCACAGGTAAGATGGCAGCGCCCAGAGCTGGCGGATGCAAGTTTGTTCGGTGCGCGGCAGCCGTGATGTGCAGCTGCTTTCCGACGATTTCGTGCTTTTTCGTGCTCGCTGACGCAGGTATAATGTGAAAATATGAAGGAATGAGACTTCGTACCGTTTTTCCGCAAGATCGCTCTGGATCATCTGGATATTAACACCTGTGAGACAGCATCAGCCGTATCGCCGTACCGGTGCTCGTATTCGGGATCTGTTCGAGGATGGATAAAACTTTGAGTGGTTTTAGCATACAATTTTCGCATTCTCTTAGCTTTGTTTGAACGTTGGAATGTCTGAGAATCGGTGCGAAAGGTATACGTCGCGTTAGGACCCAGGAGAAGTTGTTTCAGCCCTGCGTCACCGAATAACGATAGCAACTTTTAGCGAGGAAGCTCCTGCGATCTTTAACCCTTTGTGCTAATCAACGATTCTACATTCGATCGCTTTTCTTCCTTTTTTGGTGAGTGCGAAGTGCACACTTATTTTCAGCTACGAGGATGACGTTTTATTGAGTGTGGGGATGAATAAATCGTTGCAGGCACCTGCTTCAAAGCTATTTGACTTGCAATAAGAACAACTGTTTTGGTGTATGCATAGATTAACTGCAGCTTTTTCTCTTTCGTAGGATTTATTGCAGCATTAGTTTTTTTCATCAAGAGTGCATTATATTAGTCGGTCAATTATTTACTTGTTCTAATTACCTGGTAAGATGATTCATATTTGTGTTCATCCCTTGCCTGAAGAGCAGTCTTGTTGAAAAATGTTGTCCATCCCTTTCGGTCTCTTCAATAGACCTTTTTGAAAAGTGTGGGTTGCCTATACTTCGTATCATTGTAACCTGGAAAAGGGCAACCACCACAGCCCCCTCGAACCAATCAGAGAGACAGAGCGAAGGTGTGTGACAAATCTGTGCAGACGAGCACTCTGAATGACATGTTGTCATGTGCCTCTCTCCAACGTGCATCTCGGCTCACCGAGAGTGCAGCCTTTGCCAAATTGGGATGAAACGAATTACAGTAGCTATTACTCTAATTACCCCAGACTTTCATACTTTGGCCATTTGTTCGACAAGAATGTTATGTCCGCCATCACTGTGAACTCTGCTCGGCACCTATTGGACTCGAATGCTGCATTAGCATTCGACATGAACTGGGGCCCATTTGTGTGCTCCACGCCGAAAAAAATGGTAACAGTTGTGTTGGTTGATGGGGTTCTGCAAAGGGTCTATTGTGTCATACATATAGAAAGTGTCCTGCTATATAACAATGCATCAACACATACTATTAAAGTATATGCTCAGAGGTGTGTTTGTTTTTGCAATTAAGAAGTTAAATTAGTGTGCTTTAATGTTATTATAATGTGTGTAGTTTGAAGTATCCTCTCTGCAATGCCTACGAAGGCCCCTGGAGGGAATAAATTAATAAATAACATTTTCACATCACTGGAGTTGGTTTTCGGATGTGCCACATGTTCAATAGAAGTGGAATGAGTGCAGCCCAATGCAACAAGTCTGCCAGTCTGGTATGTCCCATTAATTATTATTGAAGGGTCAGAGATTCGAGTGCCCTCAAAAGGACCTGCGCGTGCGGTGAACACAATTCTTGGTGTATAAACTCTTGAGGTGTAAAGGCAAGCGGAAATATGTTTATCTGGTTAGTGTATCAAATATGTTTATTTCCACTATATTACATAATTATTGATTCTTAGTTAATGGTTCCAGAACGAGTTCTTTCTGCGACAGTCTCCTGTCAGGCGTTGAGTCGTAATACCTGGGGACCTTGTTGTGGGATGACGCTCCTGGCACGTCGGTGTCCAGTTTGGTCGAGTAGCAACTTTGACCGACTGATGCCGTCTTGTAATCATACGTCATATGCGGCCACTGACATCTGATGCACTGAAGCTGCAGGGCTGGCTTCTAATCCGCAAAATTTTCCCGGTAGTTTTCTGCATCAATGCAGCAAGCTCGGGCATGTATTGGTTATGCTGTACCGTTGACTTGATAACTGTACCTTTTGCTGTACCGTTGACTTGATAGCTGGCAACAATGTTTGTTTGCTATCCAAGCCACTTCACTTCCATTTCGTAATGGAGATTTATTCTGCATCCCGCGACCACTGCAACTTGTGTAAGTCTCATGTGGCAAAGTGAAGTCTGGTGATGCTTGCAGTCCACTTTTGAGAGCAACCAACCATTCTATTTCATTAAGTCACTGAGCGGCATTCTCCCTCAAAGTTGGAAATCGTGTGCTTCGTGGCGTGGACACAGACGATTAGTGTCAGCAAATTATTAGGTATTGTCCTTGGACGACAACCGACACCAGATCAACTCTCCTTGCATTGCCGCTCACCTGCTTTGTCGTGCTTACCTCCCGTCCAGATTGAGTAGATCACGAGCTTCGGGGTAATGTCGACACCAGGGACAAAGACCGCCGAAGATAATCCTCAATCTTCCGCGGACGCTCGTCGAGACGTGGTCGAGGGCCATTCGGCACGAATCTTTGCAGGCCAATTCATTGGTACGGGCACCTCCAGTAGACATGGTCGGCCTCATGCAGTGGTAGCAGAGCGGTTTTCGGTCGGCCATTCGCAATACCTCCGTTTTCCTCGGTGTACTTTGTTTAGCGCGGACCTACACTGGTTCTTCCCGATGTCGGGAATGCTTCGGCGTTGGGGTGTCTCGTCGCATTGGCATTCAATAGTAAC